AGAAGAAGAAGCAGCTGAAGCCTTGGTGCTGGTATCCTTCTGTGGGAGATGAGGCGGGTGTGGGGAGCCGGGTGGGGGAGGGGAGCGGCCTGGTACGGTCGGGTCTCTGTCCCGTCCTACCCTGTTCTCCGCCAGGCTCCTCGCCGTCCTGGGACGGGGCTTTTTTTTTGTTTTTTTCTCTTCGCCCCCGTTACGGTTTGGCTCCGCGCTTGGTCCCGTTTCATTTCTGAGCGCCTCAGCGCGGGGATGGGGCCTGGTCCGTGCCTTTCCTCTGCCTTTCCCCCCCCCCTCGCCCCCGCGCGGCCTAGGTCGCCCGCTCCCGCCTGCCTCGCTTGAGGCCTCGGCCTCGCGTCCGATCCGTAAAGTCAGGATAGGCCGCAGTTTCTCTGGCCGGCTGTCCCTGACACTCCTGTGGCCAGGCCCGGCGGGATTGCCGAGGTGGTGGGAAAATGGAGAACGGTTTTTATTACCCGGGGGGTAGGATGTCAAAGGAAGGAAACCCTGCCTCTGATAAATACAGTTAGTCAAGAAGAATTGGGGCAGATGTGGTTGAAAGAGATCTTTTGAAAACTTTTTTTTTTTTTTTTTTGGGGGGGGGGGTGTTCAGATTGCTAATTGCTGCATCAAAATCACGTACGTTTTTTCAGTATCCAGAAATACCGGTGGATTTTTCTTCGATCACTCCTTCACAATCTGCTTTTGGTTGGGGGGTGACTGCAGATTTATTTTTTTTCCCTGAAGTGTTTCTGCCCAATCTAGAATTCTTCAGTAAAGGAATTTGTAACCTGTTCTGAGGTCTTTTACCGTTTTATGTTGGAAGGCATCTGTGCTTCTATTTTAGGTATTAATGTATTTCAAGTTTTGGTGGAAGTGAGGCACACATTATGTTAACGAGGAACAGCTAATAAATGACGAATGTGTATTTGTCTCGTTTAGGAAGATAAGTTTGGAGTGTTTGCTGAAATACTAATGCTGACCTCCAGAAAGTAAATTGCAGTTTGCCTCTTCCATCACATTGATGTCCAGAAAGATCTTAACTTAAAATGTTTGTTTAAAAACAGAGGGTTCTTTAATAACTGCAGCAAATTATGTGCTGTCATAAGAATTGATAGCTGGATGACTGAAAAAGGAAAGCCATTTTTAACTAAAACCTGTGATCGCTTTTATAAATGTTAACTGCTGATAGCTGTTATTAAATAGGCATTTCTCTTAAGTATTTAGTATCACTTCCCTTTCGTGAATTTCAAGTCTATTTCTCCTTTAATGTTTTAGGAACTTTATTTTAATCCACATGTATGCAGAGGAGTGAGTCCGCTTTGAAATAACTAGAACTTTAAAGGCATGTGTCAAGGAATACGGAATAAAATGATAATTCTGATTGCATGCACACATCTTGCCAGTTTTGTACCTATCTGAAGAGGGAAATGCTGGGTGGTATGAGGGGGGTTTGGTTTCAGACATCCGTGAAATATTTGTCATGTTTTGAATGCTCAGAGATGCTTCCTATGTGCTTTTTTTTTTTTTTGCTTTAGGAAAAATCACAATAATGGTAATTATCTTAGTGTTGTATAGAAGGTCACTTTCAGGATTAAATGTTTCCTTAACAGTCTTCAATAGGTATTGTAACAGGGATTTTGATGATGAAAAAATCCTTATACAGCATCAAAAAGCAAAGCACTTTAAATGCCATATATGTCATAAGAAACTGTATACAGGACCTGGTTTAGCTATACACTGCATGCAGGTAAGAAATTTTAGGCTTATATAAGCTTTTTTAATCAATATTTAAAATTTGAATTAATAGTGAACTTAAACTAGGTGTTTGGGGGCTTCCAGAGTCTTAAAAACCTATGGGAGAATGACAGCAGTGGTCTGTTTCCAGAACAGGAGTCCTCCTGTGTCAGCAGTTATATGGAGAGTGTGCAGTAGAGAACTCTGCCATCATTTTTGGGGTGTAGGAGGAGTGAAGTATTGTCTTGGTGTTCAGAAGACAAGTTTATATAAACTGGTTTCAGAAGCTAATAGTAGCTAGCAGTGATTAGGAAGCATGTATCAAGAAAATGCTTGGCTGGAGAGATTCTTCCCATTGAGGATGTTCCTTTTGTGTCTTGAAACTGGATGAAAAACATGTAGAACCTAACCTGAATTGTGGTCTGGAAGATTTCTTGTTTGTTTGTTTAGGTACATAAAGAAACAATAGATGCTGTTCCAAATGCCATTCCTGGAAGAACAGACATTGAACTGGAAATCTATGGCATGGAGGGCATTCCAGAAAAAGATATGGAGGAGCGGAGGAGGTTACTTGAACAAAAAACTCAGGGTAAAGTGTAATCTAGCTAGTTACCTGTTATTTCCCTAGTTTCTTACTGATACTAAGCTGTGTGATACAGACCTCAATTCTCAGAAGAGTGAGGGTTGGGTTTAATACATTCTTGAACTGTAGCTCTACTCATTTGCCAGTCATGTAGAAGGCTGAGAAATACCTTTCTTTTCCTGTTCAGAAGTAGCTGTATGTCGGTGCAGCTACAACAATTATCTGATGAATATGGGGATGGTGATTTTACTTTTGAGGGGAAGGAGAAGGAAGGCCAGTGGTAATACAACCCTGATGATGTCCAAATACTTCAATTTCTTTACTGTTTAAGTATATGTTTGTTTGAACTGCTTTGGTTTATTCTGGACAGCATGAGACTAACATGAAGGAAGACCCACGTTTACGTTCAGGGTCATTACAGTGTGAGTCACTTTCGTTCCCTTTATTGTTTTTAGGCTCACATAGTTTTTCCTCTTTGTAATTCTGTGAATTTTTGAACACACTTGTAAGGTTTGAATTGTATTATTTTTGTTCCAGATAGAATAACCCAGATAAAATTAATTTTATAGAATATAATTTGTCTTCAGTCTGACCATATACGTTGTACTCTTAGCAGAGAGCCAGAAAAAGAAACAACAGGATGATTCTGATGAGTATGAAGATGATGAATCTGCAGCTTCAACTTCATTTCAACCCCAGCAAGTTCAGCCACAGCAGGGGTACATTCCCCCGATGGCGCAACCAGGTTTGCCTCCTGTGCCAGGTGCACCAGGGATGCCTCCAGGTAAGATGGTGTTTTAAGCTAGTTACTAAAAAGCTGAGTAGAAATACAAATTGCTGCTTGTATGCTGGAATAATAATCTGCACTCTCTAACACTGGGTGTTAGAGGTCACAAAATAGTTTTCTGGGGTCCACACAAGCAGTTTCTTGGCTTTTTTTTTTCCCTTCCCCTATTCTGCAAGTGCGCACACCTCTTCCTTTGCAAAGTAGATGAGGTGCCTAACTGTTGGTGTCTAGATTGAAGGAATGTTAATATGGTAGTAAGACAGATTACTACTTTAGACATGAGCCTACCAATGATATTTTATGTGCCATTTTGTAGCAAGATTTTGGAAACAAGGCAGAAAGGTTGCCATATATCTAGAGACTGCTAACATAGAACAGGCAGTTTATACACAGGCCACAAATACATTGAGGAAAGAATTTCCGTCAACGACAGCGAGTGAAAACTGATCTCTGTATTTTCTGTAATGGTAAGGCATGTTCTCTTGAGACTAAGAAAATTTACATGGTCTTGCAGGACTGAGAACAATTAATCTGAGTCAAATTTGCAGACAACATTTTATATTGCATTGTTTGTAAGCAGTGTTGTTTAAAAAAAAAAAATAGTTTTCTGTAAAGCATTTATCCAGTCTAAATTTATTAGATGAGATTTGTTAGCAGCTGTATGTTGTTGGAGTTGTGTAAAATTTATTTTTCTTTTAAGGTATACCACCGTTAATGGCAGGTGTTCCACCTATGATGCCTGGAATGCCTCCAGTTATGCCTGGAATGCCACCTGGGTGAGTAGCAAGAAAGACTTAATATTACATGTTCATACTGTGCATTTTAAGCTGTCACAGAAAAAGTAAAGCTAATTAGAAAAATGTACATAGGAACTGGTGAACTCTGTAATCTTAAGACTAACCAAAGAACTGGATGGCTGTAAACCAACTTTAAAAATATGGCCAAACTGTGAGTTTATGTATAAAGTATGTTGTCTTTCTCGTGACTTTGAGTATAATAATTTAAAGTTTTGTTGTGTTGGTTTAGAGCCTTCTGTGAACCACTGTTCCTTTGTGTATTGCACATATGTTGTGCATCTGGTTATCAGTCATCAACCTAACAGGAAAAAAATACTGGAAGGTGTAAATTGTTCTTGTATTTTGGGCAAAAGTAAGATGTTGGTTTTTATGCTTGTTTGGGGTTGACACCATACCCTATCACAATGTTTTTTGGAAAATCACAGTTAGATTTTTGATTTTGTCATAAATTTTCACAGATTACATCAACAGAGAAAATACATGCAGTCATTTTGTGGTGGAAACATGTAAGCATCTCATTAATGTAATTCTAGGTACATTCATTATGCCATTTTCTGTCATGTCTTTGATAAGCTTGAAATTGTCTTACTGAAAATCTCTGAATATTGCCTAAGAACTTGGGGAAAATGTCTAGTTAGCTTTTGTTATTGTTATCTGAAGTTTTTGTGCTTTATCTAAACAAATATTACAAAACTATATGTCATGCAAAATGCATTCTACGCAATATTAATGAAATAGACCCTTAGGGACTTAATGCCTCTCTTGAACCAGAGTACAGCTCCGTGTGTTTGATCCTTTACGCTGTAGGACATACTGCAGGAACTTTGCTTCTAAGTTTTAAAGCTCACTGAGGTGAAAGGTTGTTCTCTTCTGAGACAAAATAGTTCTTTTAACAGTCTTTGAATTAAAAAATCATGTCATAGTCAAATATCTTGTGGATGCTCATCATGACTGGAGCCTTTCTGGGTAGAAACTGAACAGAATTTTATCAGGCTTGCTGCTGCTTAGTCCTCCTCAAATTCTTTGTTAATTTCAGGTGGCTGTAATGTCATCTAGTAAAAGACAATATTTTCCCAAAAATTCACTGCATTTCCATTTTGGTGAAATATTAGGGGAGGGGGGTAGTATTATACTTTGGCCTAGTTTAATCTAAAATTTTGCTTACTTAACCTGATGATATTTTGTTTAAAAATGAGCAAAGAAGTATTAAGAGTTAGGAAGCAACTTTTAGTGTGACACTAGTTCTAGCACTATCCCTGCAGTTTCTCAGAAAGTCATCTTTCTGGTGGCAGCAGGCAATGAGCATCCAGCAGGTTTTTTTGGGTCTAACAGATAGTTGTCAGAATGGGTGGCAAGACTGACTTTGCTTTCTCCAACCATTAACCCTAAAAAGGGGAGATGGTACTATGTTCCTATTCATTACTGCTTCTGCATTGGTAGTTCCTTTTGTAGCAGGGGTAGACAAGTTGAGAATAAAAATAAGACTGGGTATCAGTTTGCTTTGCAGAATGAATGGTCCCCTGTTTATGATGATTTGAAAGGGCGATGGTGAACGTTTCTTGGCTTTATCGTACGAATAGAAACTGCTGCTTAGTGGGGTTTTGGTGTGCACTTGGCTGCTCCGTATCTGCTTATCTTGCTAACTAAAGTAATAAGCTTTCCTTTATTTTGTTTCCCTAATTCAGCTTCGAGTATCTGGAAAAATTTAAGCAAGCTTAAGCTACACTTGGTTTGTTCCCTGTAAAGGAATTGTCTATATTCACCTATAGCTTCTCAGTTTAAAAGCACTTAGTGTTATACACAGCTTATTTTTTATGGAGTTGCAGCCCTGTGCAGGAGGAATTTGCTTTTATTAATGGTTATGTGTTTAGTTCAGGTGGGGAACATGCATTAATTTGTAGTGTGGTTTAGTGGGTAAGGATAAAAGGAGTCATTTAGATGCTAACTTTCTGTTAGGAAATACAGACCAATTTTTTTTTGTCCAGATATCAGTAGCAAGGAAAAAAAAAAGCCCAAACCTGTTTTTAATATGAAGGAAAAATACACCAATTTAATTTAAATCCTGGTATTCTGTCCTTAGCATAGAGACTATTTAATGTAGTTGAAACTCCAGAAACTTTCTTATCCTGTGGTCTCTCCTCTGCTTTTATTGGTATTTTGTAGATAGTTTTACAGATTTGGGTTGTCTGCAGTTCACGAGAGGAAGGAGAATTATGTTAAAATACTATGAGGGTGCTGTAACCGCAGATAGACTTGTGGTGTCAGATGGGAGTAACAGCAGATGTATGGTGATTTTAGTGTGATTGGAGTGTGGTTTTCCTATTTTCAAATTTTCTGAGTGTACTAAGATCAGGTTCTTGGAACACTCAGCTGAAACTAGTAGCCTGAAGTAGATTTCAAGAAAGACACCAGTTCTGGAAATACGATAATAGCGAAAGTGAAAGCTTGAGGAATTAAAGCTCAAATGAAAAGTGTTTGGGGGTTTTCTTGGAGTTTTTGGTTGTTTTGTTTGTTTGTTTTCTTGTGGAAAAACATTTTTAACTGTAGAGTCAGCTGGTTTTGAATTTTCTCTGTTGAGAGCTTCTTGAAATTATTTACCACAACTTTTTGTCTAATACAGGTATGTGCCAATTGTCTTAAGGGTTTATCGTGAGTGTTCATACTGGTGCTCGTTTTCTGTTTAATAGGATGATGCCGATGGGTGGAATGATGCCTCCTGGGCCAGGAATACCACCCCTTATGCCTGGTATGCCACCAGGTAGGTCAGGGTTGTCGAACTCATACTATGGTGAGAGCTAAATTTTATTTATTTATGCTGAGATTTAGGATTTATATAAAGATTAGACAGACTTACGCCACCACCATGGTGTGGATTGATTGCCACAGAAGCCACTCTTGTGCACAGGTGAAAGGGTTCATTTATGGGTTTTGATTACAGTTATTTGTGTTTGGTACCATTGTGAAGGGAAAAAATAGAATACAGTTTTATCTTCTGTTGCACTTTCTCTGGCTTTCGTGTTGCCTAGTCTCTCTTCATCCCTTATTTTAATGTCCATGACTGCACCTGGAAAATTGTAATGATTGAAAATATTGTGGGAAATGAGAAATACTCAAGTAATGAACCTGCTGTGTGAAGAAACTAACTGGAATTTTGGTCTCTTAGCATAGCTAGAAGAGATGTTTCTTGAGCTTGTGCAGCTCTAAGCAGCTTTAAGTTCTGAGGGTGTTCCACTTGACCAGCAGCTATGCTGTGACAGCTTGAGATTTGCTGGTTTGCCCACATTTCTCACTGGAGGAGGAGGCAAGCCACTAGGACAGTTACAGCCTAGTTCTGCTGCACAGTGATACAACAGAACCCATGTGAGCTGTTAACTTCCTGTCTTCTGAACCTCTCCTAGAGCCCCGCACATAATGAAGTGCATGTATTGGGATGGTAGGCAACAAAAAGTAGCCTTGTGTCACTGTTCCACTGTATTGAAGCCCCACAGCAAAGCTGATCCGTGTTTTGGTCAAAATTCTGATAACATCCATAAGGGCTGCACCTTCTGGATTTTTTAATAGCCTTGTCCGTGCGCTTGGTGTAGCATAGGCGCAGTATGTCGAAAACGCTTACTGAGGTAATTGCATTGATTTATTGAGAGCGTAAGCTTCATCACTGAAGCTCTAGTAGAAAACACGGCTTAGTTAAGAATTGCTCTGAAATGTTTGAGGTTACTGCCTATGCATGGGCATTTACTGGTGTCTGCTGACATTACCCTTTGTCATGTTTTAGTCATGTTTTATTTTGCTATTGTTTTATTTTACTATTGCCTTAAATACACAACTTCCTTAGGAAAGACTTTGTTCTAAGGAACGCTGTGAACAGAATCCTCTGAAGCAGTGTTCTTACTTCCTTCAGCCTGATTTGTTACCAGTTCTTTGTGGTTTGTAGGTATGCCACCACCTGTTGGTCCTCGTCCTGGGATGCCTCCAATGACGCAAGCACAGCCTGTTACAGCACCGGGCATTCTTAACAGACCTCCAGCTCCTGCTGCATCGGCACCTACCCCCCAGCCTCCAGTCACTAAACCACTCTTCCCAAGTGCAGGGCAGGTAAGGTATCTCATAGCCTGGAATCTATTGTTACATTCTTCAAATTGTCACTGTGTCAACAGTGTCTATTCTTTATTATTGAATTGAGGAGACCCGAGAAGTGACTGGTTAAGTTTCTTGCTTGTGTTGATTCTTAAGTTTAATTCAGTGTAGTGCTTGAATGAATTTTAAAAGATTCTTTTGTTTGTCTTACAACAGCCATGAAACCAGACAGAAGTTCTGTAAGCACGTGGGGAAGAAAGGAGTAGGCAAAACCCTTCTTTAATCCCTTTAGTTTGTCATTCATAAGGGTGCTTTGGGTGGGTGAAGGGATGTTAGTCAGCTACAGAAATCTGACTGCATAGAATTTTACCTAAAATTTCCAAAGTATAAATCTTGACATGACTTGTTCTCTCCTTTTCATAATGGGCTCTCTACCCATAGATGGATTAATTTATTTTATAGTCTTGTTAGACTGGTTAAACATTGCCTGAATTAGGAGGTTTTTTACTTTAAAAAGTTTAGGAGCAAGTTAAGGTAGTACAACTTTGTTTAAATGTTTTGGGGAGGGAAGTGGGGAATAGATAGTGGCTTGTGACCTCTACCCTTTGATTGCACTTGTGTATAAGTCCTAAAGTTTTTACTTGCTTTCAAGTATGTTGCAGAAACCTTTGTAGTGTACTATTTGCATTTTGGACTTCTGCAGGGAAGATACTCGTTTACAAAACCACAGTCCTTTTATAACAAAGGACTTAGTATAAGAAATCCTTTCATCTGGATACTTTCCACCCATTTGTTTGGAGACTTTTCACTGTTTCCTTTCTTTTATGCTACAGATGGGGACACCTGTCACAAGCTCAAGTACAGCTTCCTCCAATTCAGAAAGTCTGTCAGCATCTTCTAACGCTCTGTTTCCTAGCACAGCACAAGTACGCAGGAAGTCACAGTTAAAAACAAATGGCTTTGCAACTTAACCCTTTGGACCGATCCGTAAAATCTAAAATTGACTAAACATCTTCAGATAATTTCTGTTATATTCCTGATTATGTTTAGCTGGTAAAACTGCAGAGTCCTTGATTGTGAGCTGCATCTTACTAGAAATAAGCATGTCAAAGTGCCCAATTTTTCTTAGCGTGAAAGAATGAAATGTTGCATCCTGGTTCTAAAGGGTTAAAAAAGCATGAAAGCAGTTAAACGCATTTTAGCGGGCAGTGGTTAGCTTGATGCATGGTGAAGGCTTTTTAGTTTATGTTGTTTAATATGGTACATCATAATGTAGGGAATTTTGTAATTTGCATTATGTGCAAAAAAATTGAAATAGGTTGTTTTGATTGGAAAGTTCAGATAATTGTAAATGTACAGTGACTAGAAACAAAAGCATTCTCTCATAACGAAAGCTTGCTTTGGAGATTGCTTTACCAGGCTTTCTCTGAAGATGCAGCAAACTTTTCTTGCCTAACAGTTGTAATTTAAGATAAAAGTAGAAAAGATGAGATGCTGGAATCTTTAGTGGACCTCGTTATCTGCCTTTAGTTGATTCTTCATTCCCAAGCGAGATGAAAGATCTATAGACAGACATAGTACTTTGTGAAAATATTGCCGTATTTCTATAGAGAGAACGCTTAAAACAAAAGCCCTGACACAGTAGCTTTCTTAATATTTAATTAAAACGTTTCTTAAATACCTAATTTTAATGAATACTAACATTTTGAGCTGTACTTTAAACTAATGATTGCTAAAGTATGCTGAGAGAACAATTAATTTATACTTACAGGCTCTTAATAAAACAGTGATCCAGGAAAGATTTAGACTTTTACCAAACTCAGTATTCGAGATAAAAATTCTGATAGTGGGGGTTTTTTTGTTGTTCCTTTTTTCTAGTTGTGGCTTTTGACCTGCAAATTTTAGACTTTCCTCTGTATGTGTGTGTATGTATATGTGTGTATATATTGGGGTTTATTTTGTCTTGTTTTCAGTTGCTCTAGTATGTGATAAGGCTGAACTTTTACTTTTGTCAAGCTTGTTATAATTATGTATCTTACTGGAAGGTTTCAGAGGTCTAACAGACATCATTTAAGTTTTCTTAGGCTTTGAGAAATAAATATTGATTTACCTCTGTGTTTCACAGGCTGCAGCAGCTGTTCCAGGTCCAGTTGGTACTGATTTCAAACCTTTGAATTCTACACCTGCAACAACAACAGAGCCCCCAAAACCTACATTCCCTGCTTACACACAGTCTACAGCCTCAACCACTAGCACGACAAACAGTACTGCAGCTAAACCAGCTACATCTATAACAAGTAAGCCTGCTACCCTCACAACAACCAGTGCAACCAGTAAGTTGATCCATCCAGATGAGGATATATCACTGGTAAGTTAAAATTTTTTCATTGTCTTACTGAAAAATACAATTTACACTGATAATGGCTGATTAAATAGAATTTCTTCTGCATTATGTGTATTTTAATAATGGTGAGAGTGCAGACTGTGCAAAATTAATGTATCAGAAAAGTGCATCAAGAAAACTTCTCATTGCCAAGTGATGACTGGCGTATTGCAATGATCCTGCTATAGATCTAAGCCTTATTTTTGTTGGTGATAGATTACTCAACCCAAAATATAATTTGGACTTTTTCTGCATGTGACTTAAGCTTGAAGTTAAATAGATACAGCTAATGAGTGTAGGACAAAAGACTTCAACAGTTTGAAGTGGTCCTGGTCCTATTACAGCAGTTGGAAATAGGGGATTTGTGGGTAAAATAGATGAACCTTAATTTCAGTTCAGATAACTTTAGATTTGTGTTTGGTTTTTTTTGTCCCAACTTGTTAGGAGGAAAAGGCTTTGTTAGCTGGGAGAGGAGGAGAATTTGTGTTGCACGCAAAATGCTAGATGGGCCAGTATTAATACTTTGAAGGAAGGGGGAAAAGTCCAAATGCTAATGTGGAATGTTACTAGTAGTAGTCTTTGATCTTGTAAGGTAGTTGAAATAGTTTAGTGCCTGTAATCTATTTTGTTATACTCTTACTTACTTTGCTTTTGGTGAGTTTTAGCCTTACAGTGTGTTACGGTTGTCTGTTCCTGGTTTTAGGAAGAGAGAAGGGCACAGTTGCCTAAATACCAGCGTAATCTTCCTCGACCGGGACAAGCTTCCTTGGGTAATCCACCAGTTGGACCAATCGGAGGTATGATGCCACCACAGCCAGGAATTCCTCCACAGCAACAAGGAATGAGACCTCCCATGCCACCTCATGGTAATCATAAGTGTCCTAGCTTTCTTTTCTTGAAAAGATTTGTCTTTGCTATAAACTTCTTTAAAACTTGAAGTGGCATATACTGGTGGGGGTGGTGAGGCTTTTCACAAAATGCAACTTCTGCCCATTATTTAAAAAAAAAAAAAAAAAAAAAAAAGCCTTTTCACAAAATGCAACTTCTGCCCATTATTTTAAAAAAAAAAAAAAAAATCTTCTTTGCATCTTAAATGTTCTGTTTTATAGGTCAGTATGGTGCTCATCACCAGGGCATGCCAGGATATCTTCCTGGAGCGATGCCTCCATACGGTCAGGGACCTCCGATGGTGCCCCCTTACCAAAGTGGACCTCCTCGACCTCCAATGGGAATGAGACCTCCTGTAATGTCGCAAGGTGGCCGCTACTGATGCTACTACACACGCTCTAATAGGTTTGGAGATTAAACCTTTTCTCATCTTGTGCTGTTAATATAGCCGAGCTTCCGTCAATTAAGGCTTCATTGTGACTTTAAAAAATAAGTATCTTCCCACATGCAAGGAGCTATTGGACATTCTTATTTTACACGGGAAAAATTATTTGGAATAATAACAGGAACTTTTCCTGATGTTGCAATTTATACTGTATGGCTTCTTTTTCATGTTTCATCTAGGTTTTTAGAAGTGAAGTATAGTAAATATGGTTCGTTAAATTGTGAAGGCGCTGGAATTACATGAACATACCACCTTAAAGGCAAGTTCTGTAACGTTATGTTGCTATTTGTGAAATAATGCCTTCACAGCACTTCAAGTGCTGTTGGACTTCATGTCCCCAACATAGTTTGGTGAGGGCTGTAACTGTTCCCAACTACTTGTACATTTAAGTCTGAACTTGTAACAATATTTAATGTATTTAGAGTTCCTCCTGTTTCAGGGTTTAAGTAAACTGACCCACTAAGGTCGTGTGATTTTTCTGTACTGTTATAAACTTCATTGTAATAAAAGAAGAGAAAAATTTATATGCCTTTTTATTCATGACCAGCTGTGGACAACTGCCTGAAAGGTTTGTACAGATGCATGCCATGGTAGCTATCGGTGTAATGAACACAATTACTGGTGCTGTTTTGATAAAATCTGAATTCCTTGTTCTAAAATTAAGTCACTCCTTAGCTGCACGTCTGAGTAGACAAAGACCTGTACACTTATTAACAGACTCCTCAAAAATGAGGTTGCAGGAGGCACATCTAAACTCTTGGTTGTAACTTCTCTTAATGCATATGTTTCTTTATTGGTGCTTTCTTGTCCTCAATAAATTTTAAATGATTTCTAGTTCTGGCACTGACCTGTAGGATGTAAAAGTGATTGCTTTAAGATGCATCCTAGTGCCAGATGTGTCCTGTTAGTTCATTCTTCAACTGACTCTTTTTAATGTGCAAGTGTATATGAACTTCAGGAGCCTTTTAGATGAAGATTTCTAGAAGCTTAGGTGCATGTCACGTGGGTGAGTGATTTCCAGTTGATGTTGTATTGAAGTTGACCTGCAAAAGAGAAAAAGTAACTTGACCTTCTTCTCAGTGTATAAAAGAAACAGAGGGGGCAAGAGTGTAATACGTTATGTGCTGTATTTTTACTTAAAATGTTCAGAATTTCAGATCTCAACATTGAGTCCAGAAGATGAACCATCCATTGTGTGTTATAATCAGATGTTGGCTGAGTTTCTTGAGCCATTTAATTGAAGTGTCTAGAGCAAGAGACCTTTTCATCAGTTCTCCTAATTACAGTTATCAAAGGGATGTCTTCCCCATATGAATAAGTCCTTTATCTGCTTAAAGAGTAGAGTGGTAAATTAGTGACAAGGTTATAATTCTCTGAATGTTTAACATTACTGTGTTAGTGTACTATATTTCTCATGAGAATAAAAAGGTAGAGGGAGACTTCTTGGAGGGAAGGGATGCGAGAGCTTCCCTGTTCCCTTCACAACAGGGGAAAAAGTGGTGATTTTTCATTTGCAGGTCAACTTAAATACATGTTCCAGCCTCAAGCCTTATCTGTGCAATTTAATTTATGGGGATATCTCCTTTTAGGGAAGATTAGAAAGATTATCAGCATTTTTGTGTCAGTTTGTTCCATAGATGTTTTTGTTGATGGTGGAATCTTTTCACTGAATTGTAACACTGAGCGTTATGGCTCTTTTTCTTGAAAGTCTTGGGGTTTTTTTAGCTGCACTTAAGTACTACTCATGTGGCTTTATTCTGTACTGTCTCTTAATAGTCCAGAAATACAGTACAGGTAGAATACTACATTGTCTGTCAGCTTCAAACTTGGGGCTGTGGAATGGCTCATAAAAGCGTTGGAGCAACCAGTACACTCAAATTACAGCTGAATGGCCTTAGTTTAACTATTACGAATTAACAGGCACTTTTTCCTAAGTGTTTGGTAGTTTTAAGACCATAACTCCAAGCCTCTGTTGAGAAGCAGTTCTCTCTGATCACTGGTATCTGCTGATCACCTGTCAGATGTACAGTATTTGGCTTGCAAATGTGCTGAGTGGGCCTTGATGTCAGATCTGTTGTTAGCTCTTCGTCTTGCATTATGCATAAGTCTTAACAGATAAAATTGTTTTGCTTAGGCAATGCTTTTATACTCTGGCTTTCTTCTGTTTATCTGATAAGGTTAATTACAAAACACTGGAGAGATTTTTACAGTGTCTTACATTCATCCTTTTTATAATACTACACATAAAATTCATACATTATAAATTGATCTTAACTTGTGCCTTTAAAACTATAGAACTTCTTGCTTTTTCTGAAGATCATGTTGCTGCTGTAAGGATGCTTTGCCCTCTTGCCCCTAGTAAAGTAAATGCGTTCTCCCTTTGGTGTCTTTCTGTAACTCGTTGGTATGTTGTTTTCAGACCCCTACTTTTCCTGGGATAAATACCTGAAAACCCTACTGCATGTACTGTTAACTCAGCATATTCTGCAAGTTCCCTCTTTTAAATAGTGAACGTCTCATTGTTCTGATACTAGTACCATCTTGTAGCTAATACATAGATTTACAGCTTGGATGCATATTAAGATTGAACTTAGTATAATCCCTTAACTAAGTACTGCCACATATTATTCATATGGTACTCAAATCTTCAGAAAGCAGGCGAACAATTTTTCCATGATTTTTCACATGGATACTTACTTTCCTGCTCCTGTCATTTCTGTGCTGTAAGAGCTGTGATGTGGCTATCTTTAGTTACTCTTGTGTCTCTTGTGTGTACTTTTCTGTAAACAGGGTATTTCAGTGCATATGTTGTCTGTTGGTCCTTGCCTTCATTTCTTTGGATACTGCTTCTTAATGTTCAGAGAGTTGGATTTATGGTGCATTTTCCCAAAAAGAGGAAAACTATTTCACATGTAGTAATTGCTTGTGTAAAGACTAAGGCTTGGTTTACAGTACAAAGTTTAGTCAACATAGCTGTGCTAGCAAAATCCCTCATGTAACACAGCCGTGCAGGCAGGTTTTTTGCTTTAGTTAATCTCTCCCTTGAAAGAGATAGCAGAAGCTTTTATGAATATAGAAAAGCATCTCTCGTATCTGTTGCAGGACCCTAGTGGTAAAATTACATAGGCTGAAGCTTTGTTTTTCAGTTGTTGCCTAAATTTGCCATGTCAGATCTTTAAAATTAAAACTTCCGAGTGGATTTTGATCAATCTTTAAATTGGAATGTAATGCAAATGTTGAATAAAAAAAAAAAGGCTGCAAGAAAATGTTCAGACACAGGTGGGAAAGTGTTTAGCAAAATACTTAGAATTTATGGTTTCTTTAGAAGGTTCTAAATTATTTGATGCATGGTCTCTCAGTATCACTATGAGAGACTGATCTCGTACCTGCTGATCTTTAGAGCAAAAGGGGTGAGACTGACATTAAAGAACCATGGAAAAGCCTGGGCTAGTTTTTCAGAAGTCTTGAGATGACTGTACTGCCTCTAGAACATCTTTCTGCCTTTGGCAAAGTTTTGCTTTAAATAAAATCTTGAAAATTTTAGCTGGATTATGTGGGCTAAAAATTTCTTCTGGAACATTTGGATATTTTTTTTCCCTACCACAGATGAGATTTTTAAGTGCTGATAATAAATTTGAGGCTGGGATTTTTATCTAATAATTTCACTAGATAACTACTCCTCGCTCTGTGCATGCATGGGAGAATACAAACAAGCTTCTAGAAACACATTCAGCTGCATCTGCCTTCTGTGGTTTCTGTGATTATTTTTGTGTATGGAGCTCTTGAACAGTACTTACCTAGAACTATATAACTTAACACTTGGATGAAATTGAATGGAATATATAACCTGCAGTTATTTTGTAGGAATCAAAGAATTCTGCATACAAGATAAAAAATAAAATCTCAAGACTACTTAAGTTTTATAAACAGCAAGAAGGGTATTATGACTCTTCACTTAAATTGAGACTGATATACCAGTCCATGAATTGGGGCTGCAATTTAAAATGGTAAATAATGACACTTAAAAATAATAGTAAATGTCTTAATAATTGTACTGGTCTAGCTTCTACATAAATACTAAGGTGAGGGTGAACGTGTTCAGTGGCTGATGGAATCTTTACTTTTTGTGAACGAGTACTGTTAATACTACCAGTTATGGGAAAAATGCCCCAAGACAACTGACTTATGTTCCATTGATCAAGATACAAAGCAAAACAAACTGTCCAATTCAGGAATAGCTACCAACTATTAAAAGTTTTGTTTGGGCCTAACAAAATAGGTGCAATAGCAGTCATTTTCTTTTGTTTGCTTGATCACTGGAATTTTGTTAACTTTGAATGCATGTCTTTCATTTAATTGGGTCATGTTTTTTCTAAAATTTAAATTTTTCTTCTTCCTATAGCCCTGCCATAGGACAGGCTGAGGCAGAGTCTCAGTGTTGCCCTGTTCAGTCTGAGGCAAGTGGGATTTATTTTATTCGTTCTGGGGGCTTTCACAGCTTTATGGCTGTTGGATATTTATGTCCCCAAACTTGCAGCAAGTTTGGTGAAGGCCCCTAAATTTATTTTAATTTAGGTTTTTTATTCTCTTTTGGTAGATGGGCTCTATATTAATATTTATCTTTTTATTATCATTGTGTTTTTAAGAGTCTTAGGGGGAGGGAACATGTTTTAAGATGTTTGGGTACCTTTTCTCTTAATGGAATGCGTTTCTTCCAAGGCTACTCGGTAGTCCTTCAGCCACACTGCCCCCCTCCCCCTCTTCCCCTGCATTGCATTTGTGCTATTTTTGGTTTTGGTAATGTGAATTTGTGTAGTCTCTGAGCTAGTGGCATGTAAATATCAATTACTAATGTTTCCTCTTCTGGGGAGATGTCTATTGAAGTGCTTGAAATACTTAGGTTTTAATTAGTGAGTGACATTTACAGTCACAAAATTGTGTAGCCTAAATTATAGAATGCAGTTTTCTTGGAGAAGGCTAAAATGTTAATACTGCTGCATATGTGAGCTGCACCACAACAAATATTAATGTAGAGCCCTATGAAGAAACAGAGATTCAAGTTGGTAAAGTAGAACAGAAGAATGAGAAATCGAAGCTGCAGATTTTTCAGCTTGTCAGTTGCAGGGAAAACCTTTTCCTTGGTCTCTCAAATACACCAAACTTGACATTTTGTCTGTTGTAACAATACTAAAAGTCATAGCGCTTTTTTGGAAACCTTGTAGATTATGTTGCATATTCAAAATTTGCCTAGGTATATGGTTATCTGAAGTTCTTCTTTCACCCAGTGACTAGCAAAAAATTCCACCCTTTGTGAAGAAAAATGAGCTTCAGTGTTGCTGCTCACTTGGCAGATATATTGGCTTTGAATGCTTGAGGTTGCTTAAAGACAGCTTCAGCTTCTGAAGAACAGGTTTTGACTGAGGAGGTCTTGCAGCCTATCAGCAGTGAAATAGAAATTTAACAAATGTTGGAGACAGGCTTTATAACTTGTCTAGATTTTTGAGATCTTTTTAAAATTTGTGGC